GCAGGGTCTTGGTATGAAACATGTCATGGCAAAATTTGTTCCATGGCTGCTTCTGCTACGAGAGCAGAAACATCATGCTGCAGTTGGTAATGACTCGATTCATACCGCTACCAATGAACAAGATTTCCTCGAGAAGGTCATAATCGGAGACGAATTGTGGATCTACAGCTATGGTCCAGAAATGAAGGCCAGGTTGTCCCAATGGATGTCACCTAGTTCTCCATGCCCGAAGGAAAAACTTTGTTTTTTGATTGGGAAGATGTTGTCCATTGTGAGTATGCCTCCAGGCCAAACAGTAAGCAGTTTTGCCTCAAGTGTTCTTCATCATCTGAGATACAGTATGACAAAAAGGGCCGCAGCTGTGGGCAGTTGGTGATTGGCAGCTTCATCACAACCACACCACCACTCATGTGTCTTGTCTTGTGCAGAGTTTTTTGGCAAAACATCAAATCATCCAGGTGACTCAGCCCCACTACAGCCCAGGGTTGACACCCTGCGACTTCTGGCTTTTCCCAAAACTAAAATCACCTTTGAAAGGGAAGAGATTTCAGACCGTCAGTGAGATTCAGGAAAATACGATGGGGCAGCTGATGGTGATTCCAACAAAGGATTTTGCAAAGTGTTTTGAACTGTGGAAAGGATGCTGGGACAACTGAGGTCCCAGAGTGCCTACTTTGAAGGGAACTGAGGTGTGATGGTCCTGTATACAGTGTTTCTTGTGTGTCATGTATCTTTTTCAATAAACGTGTCTCTTGCATAGTACATGGCTGGATACTTTCTGGACATATCTTTGGACGGAATATAAGGGTATAGATGAAAGTATTTCTTTTGACTGGGATTTGGGGGCCTTGTTTTTGTGTTTACTCTTCAGTTTGTTACATAAATGTTTTCACTTGGCAAATCTGAGGAGTAAATCCTATGTGGATTTGAATAGGATATGATCCAAACTATGCCTATGTGTCTTCATAGATCTTTCTCTGTATCAAATCAGAAACATTGCCCATAGATGCTGTGCTGTCAATATGCACATGAACACAGAGGTTACCACCTAATATACATAGGGATTTGGAACTGTTTTAACCAAGTAACACTGAAGCAAACTGGGCAATAAAAGATGATTAGGAATCCCTGAAAGGTAGAGAAAATTGGTGAAGAAGAATATATTTTATAAAGTATTTTTATTAAACTTTTAATGCCACTCTCTTACCTGCAGGTGACGAAGGGAGCATGCCAGCAGATATAGCCACGTTACTAAAAACGTCAATGGGCCTGTGAGATAAGACTTGGTGGACTTTTGATCTATGAGGACGTATCAACTTGGTGCACTCAAGGACATTTACATTATGAAGACCATGGGGTTTATGAACATTTGTAACTTTTTATAATTTCCATATTGCATTTCTCATAGTATGGACAACTTTTTTGCCACTAATTGAATTCTTCTGATGCTCACATGTGAAATTTCAATAAAAGCAACAAATATGTAGTCCTAAAAATGTTGAATAATCATTTTACAAAACAGTTTTCTGAATGGGGATTAGTTGGTGATTGTTTGTAACAAATATGCTAATGCTTTAGAAATGTCAGTATTTTTGTAATTATTTCTACCTCCAAATATATATATATTGTCTTTCACTGGATAATGTGTGTAGATTTTTACATGTGCCTTATTTGACAATGCTTATGTCTTGGTTTTGCTTGTCTCATTTGAAGTTCTTTTTTATTATGTTAGTTTAAAGGATGCAGCTGTATAGATTTATATAGCTTTCATTTTATTGCTATTTGAAGCAGATGTTCACCACTGTCAACAAGAACTCAACCTGAATTTAAAGGTGGCATTCCATATACTAGCACCCCCAGGTCCTCCCAAGGAGTTCTGTTAAAAAACAAATTTGTTTGGCTAGGCACTAAGTTGTTTTCCAGTGAATAGTAACTAAAGAAGCCCTTATCTTGCTCCATGGATTAATTAATTCCTTCTGTTCATTTCCCAACTGCACTGTGGTGCATACTACCCTGCCTATTCTTGTGCATGTTTTCATTGATTTCCCTCTCCTGGCTTTTGCTTCTCTTGAAACTATTGCCCAGTCACTTCTGCTCCAGTTCTCATTACTGTCTAAATAGTAGTTTATTCCTGCCACATCTTCACACATCAGGAAAATGTTGGTGACATTTTTTTCCTAGCCTGGCAGAACAGATTAACAGGCTATTTCATTTCAAAGCAGACTGAATGTGACTTCGTGTTAAGGAAGCATTTAAGTACTGCATGGAAATAGGTCATTGCCTTTACATTCTTATCAAAATATGATTTACCAGTTTTCCAGAGTTTCCAGTGCTGGACCTCCTGAAGAGAGAGCCATTTTTCAATTAATTGAGTGTGGGTGACAAAGTGAAATTTAGAAGTAAAGTTGTCTACTTAATATTTAACTCTTTATTGTCTTTCTTTAAATTTTTGCCTGTCAGTCTATATTGCTGTTTTTATTACACATCAGTTTCTTTGTATAACTTGTGAGTTTCATGTGTTTTGTTTTTATTATGTAAATATCATTATAAATAAAGTTATTTATAAATCGAAGATTTGTTAGTTATTGGAGATTATACTTTCAGGGCATTTTGACTTGCTAACATGCTGAGGTAGTACAGTCCTCTGGAGTTGGAAGGCTAATGAAACTCTTACAGTGATTCTTCAGATATTACAGACTCTGAAAACTCATGACTCAGCAGACTTGCCCACTCTCGATGGTATACTGAACATACTCCATTTAGTAGTATAATGGGGCTAAAAGGAATCTGCATATATTACTATCACTTCCTCCTGCATCACAGTACCCAAATCACTTAGTCAAATTGTAGGGAATTGGAGGTAGGCAAAGGTGGGGCTGGGAAAGGGGACATCTGTAATAGTGTCAACAATAAAAATAAAGTTACAAAGTAAAATCTTACAATGGATTTCTCATAACTTTTCTGTATGGATGTATCTTCAATGATAGGGTATTTCTTTTGTTGTCAAATCCATATTCTTTAATGAAATGTATTTGAGTTCTCCCTGTAATGCTTTATTATGTCTTGGGCTTAATAAAAATATTTGTGATCATAAGTTGTATTTTCACACTCTTTTTAATAGTTTCTAACCTCTCCCTTTACCCTTGAAAATATATAAAATTGATCACAAAAAAGATCATGTTATGTGCTTAATGTCTGTTTTCAATAAACTGGAATTTGTTACTTAGGATCTATTCTCCTTAGTCCCTTTATTGGGCTGTCAGTAAATGTAATCCATTAATTTAGTAAAGATCGTATGAGACCGCAGTTGTTGGAGTAGTATCATGATCAACTGAAGCAACTTTTTACTTTTTTAACATAAGTCACAAAGAGAAGACATACCTTAGGTGTTTTTGTAACTGTATTCCTGACCCCATAGACTTAACTTTATGCCATTAGCTATTTATAGCAAAACAATATCTTTCCTAGTTGTTGCTGTTAATGTATAGTGGGTAGTGTCAGATTTGGTTTCCATTTGTGTGACTTTAAGCAAGACATTTTATATGATTCATAAGATTAGGAAATTGATTTTTTTAACTTCCCAAAAGGTATGGGCTTTTTTCTGGTTATAATATGCAATTCAATCTATGCTCCAATTCATTTATATTCTCTCTCACTTGTTCAGTTGCTCAATAAGGAGACATTTAGTTTGGATACAGGATGGGATAAATGGAATGTGTTGTCCCTCAGTGAAAAAAGGATGCTCTGAAGGTTGTGAAACTGATTGAAACAAAATTCTTATGAAGCCTGCTATGGCTTTTTATTTGAATCAACTACATATTTTAATTTGTGTAAACAAGTGGGACTGATTTATTGAATTTTCATAATTTTAGATAAGCAGTCTATTTTACTAAGTTCTACTTTTGTTAAAGCCTGTCAGAATGTAATTATGTGCAGGAAAACGAACATGCACAAGGAAGAGGAATAGTTACTACCTTCATTATTTAGAGTAGTAGTATTTTTTTTTTTTGTTAAATATTCTTTCTTCAGTCTGCCTTGATAACATGGTAGAGTACTTTGCAGTGAGATTCACCTACAAGCTATTATCACTTATTAACAGCTACAAACTATAAGGAAATATGTGGAATCCTTAATGTATGAAGTATTTAACATTTTCCCCCACTTCATGGGTCATTTTTGGGGAAAAAGAAGCACCTTGAACAAAATCCTATTTAGCGAGGCTTCCCTTTTTATTTCTTCTCCCTGTTTCTGGCTGCCCAACTGTTAACCTTCCATTGTCCTGTATTCAAGTTTAAGAACCTCTATTTCATTAGTCCATTTCTATATATAACATGGCTTACTGAAATTAGGTAATCCAATGTTAATGTTAACATGTAAATTGAACTCAAATTTGATGTTCCAATAATACATGCTTACCATGGGTGAGGGATAATATTAAATAAAGTTAATTGGAGGACTTCTTTATACATGTACTTCTTGCTTTCCACGAATGTGTGGGGGCTATAAAAATGACAGCAAGTTGAAATTTGGAAAATCTTAATCATTGGGGAAAGTGATGGTTTCATGACGTATAAAGGTTTGTCAACAAGTTAACAAACAGTTCTAACTGTATAAGCAAATGAAAATACTAAAACTAATATTTAGTACACTATAAAATGTTAGTAACAAAGTTTTGTAAATGTCTAGAGTAGTTTGAACAGTACCTTCTTGTGTAACTTGCATTTTTTTAATACCTTGGCAAGTTGTCATAAACTTGGATCAGCTTTCAACATTTTATTGCTCTTTCAATGTCACAGAATATCCCTGTTCTTTTTTCTCTTTTACAGACTTTTTTAAAGAGACGTTTTAGGTTCACAGCAAAACGGAGCAGAAAGCCGAGTTCCCATATACCCCTCCCCCCCCCACGCCCACCCTCCCCCACTCTCAACACCTGGCACCACAATGCTGTATTTGTTACAGGAACCTGCACTGACATCTTAACCACCCAAAGACTATTGCTTGTATAGGGTTCATTCTTGGTAGTGAACATTTGACAAAGAAACCCACCTTCATAGTATCATTCACAACAGCTTTAATATTGTGAAAATCCTCTGTACTCCACCTGTTCATTCCTCCCTCCTCAGCCCCTAGAAACATTGATCTTTTTGCCATCTTCATAGTTTTCTTTTCCAGAATGTTAAATAGCTGCACTCATACAGTATACAGTCATTTTATTTTTTTCAAATTACCCATAAGAGAAAGTATTTAGAAAATTACAGAAGTGGTAGAACTGAGCTGGCTGGGCTGTGTAGGCTTAGGAAATAAGATAGAGGCAGAAGGAGGGCGATTGGAGCTGAGGAGAGAGGAAGGCAAAGGTAACGTGCCTGGAGGGAAGAGGGAGAGATGGAAAAGGTACACGCGTGCTCCTGAAAGGGAGAGTGAGCCAGTGTGCAGTCATTTTAGATCGGTTTCTTTCACTTCATAATAGGCGGTTACATTTCCCTTGGGTCTTTGCATGGCTTGACAGCTCTTTTTTCTTTTTTTTCTAGTGGACAATATTTCCTTGTTTGGATGTGCCACATTTTACTTATCCACTCACCTACTTAAGGGTATCTGGTTGCTTCCAAGTTGGGAATCATCAATACAGCTGCCACAAAAATCCATGTGCAGGTTTGTACATGGACATAAGTTTTCAACTCCTTTTAGAGAAAATACCAAAAGAATGCCATTTCTGGATCGTATGGTAAGAGTATGTTTAGTTGTATAAGAAACTGCCAAGCAAGGTCTGTACCATTTGCATTCCTATCAGCAGAGAGTAAAATTCCCTGTTGCTCTACATCTTTGCCAGCATTTGGTGGTGGTGGTGTTTTGAACTTTTCCCGTTCAAACAGGTATGTATGGTATATCAGTGTTTTTGTTTGCAGTTCCCCCACAAAATATGATATTGAACATCTTTTCATATGCTACTTGCCATCTATATCTTTGGTGAGGTGTCTGCTCAGGTGTTTTGTCCATTTTGTATTTGGATTATTCATTGTTGACAAATTTAAGAGCTCTTTGTATATTTTTGGATAATAGTCCTTTATCATGTGATAGGTATTGCAAATATTTCTCCCAGTCTGTAGCAAGTTGTCTCATTCTTCTGATCTCTGTTCTTTTGATACAAAGTTTTATACGAGTCTCACCTCCTCTGGGATGTCTTCATCCTTGTCACTAGCACACTCCTCACCTATGTTGGTAAGTGTGCCTCACCCAGTTCTGCTGGCTGCATATCTGGAATCTAGAGCCCCTTGAACTGTATCAGTGTCAACATTCTGACAGATCTTTCCGTTTATGTTCAATTTGAATTGCACCCCAGTATTATCACTTTTCATTTCTTTATCGCACTCTCATCTTTGTTGGTGAGTTCCCTTTTTCAGTTACCCATTTGCCTAAAATGTCAAGATGTTTTATCACTGAGAAGCAAGCAGGCCGTGCCACTACACACTTGACTGTCTGTGCGTGAATAACAAACAGGTGTGCAGTGACCGATGCTAATTTGAAAGAAGTGACATCAGTGGTCATGGTCATGCTGTGCATCTTATTTACATAGTGATGTGTGGTCTGAATGGCTAGCAGTGAGGTTGATACTTAATGCAATTACTCACTGTTAATACACCATGGTAAGTGAAGCCCAAACTATTTTGGGGGGAAATGTGTGATTTAATAAGCTATTGTGACTGAAATTTATGCATGAGAGAACCAGAGCAAAGCGAGGCCTGGTTTAAACTAATTTTCCTCAGTTGTAAATGATGTGAAACTATTCTGGGAAGAAAAAAGAAAAAAAAAAGATACTGGCAACCAGCAGCTTTTTTTCTCTTTTCAAGCAGAATGTGGCAGAAGTAAATGTCTTGATGGAGGCGCAGTGTGTGCCTATGAGGCAGGTTAATGGAGCAGCTTCTCTGACGGGAGCAGTGCTGGGAGGAACAACCAAGTGGAGGCCGCAGGCATCGCCTACAGTCTGGTTTGGGGTCTTCGTTGTATCCAGTCAGCAATGGCAGGAACAGCTTGGACTTTCTCCCGTAACATCGCCAGCCTGGGATGGACGTTCAGCAAGTCAGGTCTGAGGACCAAAAGCGTAGTACTGCAAATTTCCCAGTAGAAATCTGCCCAAGTTATCTAGGTTAAAAGAAACAGAAATTTCCATTAGAACATAAAAGATATAACTTCTTCATCTAAAAATAGTTTCTTTAATTCAAGGTAACCTTTTGTTATTTCAAAAGTAGCACGTGTGCAAGGCAGTTACAGGGTCACACCTGGACTCCGTCTTGAGCCAAAGAGCTGCATCTTAGGGGCCTGACTGTGACTCCCTGCTTTCAGTCCAGTTCTCTAGTTGAAATTAGCCTAACCACATCCGTAAAGAAAAGAAAGTACAGCAATAACATTTATTCCTGTCTTGTCAATGAAATGGTCACTAGAATGTTTGTGCAGGCATTATTTTCGAGGCCCTTTGAGTGGTCCAAGGACCATGGAAAGCATCTCGTGACCACCCTGGGACCCACCGCCACCAGATGACCATCATGAGACAACTGACCTCATCCTCATTCCCAAGTCCTACACCCACGCCGAGGCCCCCACGCCAGCCATCCACAGAACCCCTCGCGGAGCCTGACCTCTCTTTTCCTGGTCGACTCCCTTGTGCCCAGCTCTTTTTCAGTAACCTCTACCTGCTCGATCTTGTATGAGTTCAGTGCTCATTTCTATGACACTGACACTCAAGAATGCTGGCATTCAAGGTCTGGTAACAGGTGTATGATAGGAAATGACAGATAACACCACAGTCCCAACACCAAAAGGTTACTAATATTATTAACACCCCTGTGTATAAAGTATTCTCTGTGTGTGTGCATTTGAACTAAAATGAGATATTACAGTACATACTTTTTGGAACTTGATTAGTCTCCACCTCTCTGACTACATTTTCATCTTACCTCATACCAAATCAATACTTTCCCATCTGCTCCAAAAAGCACCCTTTATAGGAGAAAGCAGAATCTATTCCAGGACCTTGCATTTCATCTGATTATGTCCTTTAACCCTCTGAATTCAGAACAATACTCTTCATGCCACTGAATTACTGAATAGTCTGCACTAGTCCTACACAATATCCTGTCTTCAGGATTTGTGCGATTATCTTGTCTTCTTGTTTACCTTGTTCCCTTATATCACAGGGTGTATAGGGTGCAAGTTTTCCCAACAGAGTTCATAGTTTCAAGTTAGCATTTCTGGCAAACAGACATTATATTGCACCACATCAGAAGACTTAATATAAGGGTGTCTGACTGTAAGCGAAACTGTAAGATTGACCACGGTGTCAGGATGATAACACTCCGGTCCTTCCAGTGTATACTTTTTTCCTCTTTGTGACTAGAAACTAATCTGGATGACATTACTTTGGCTCAAAGAGTGAAGTTTCAATGTGCACTAGTAGCTCTGTTTTTGTGTAGAATTTGATAACACTTGCCGTTAGTATTTTATGAACTTGCTTACTAAACATCTGTGAACTGGAAGTCCGTAGGTCAGAGTTTAGAGTTCAGTAAACACATTTCTGGTGCACCTACTGTGTGCTCCATTCAGGTCTAGGTGCTGGGATTAACAGGAGGGCAAGATGTGGTGCCAGCCCCTGGTTCTCTGGTGCAGCTTTTATTTTAGAAGCAGGAAGACAATTAAACATGTGGTGATAAGGGTCACAAAGAAAAAGCGAAGTATGAGGGACTCTCAGGTGGTCAAGGAGGGAAGACCTTTAAGAAGTGACATTTAAACCACAGTTTGGAAAAAGGATCCAAGTGTGCAGCCATCTGAGGATTAAACATTCGGGCAGAGGGAACAGAAGTGTAAAAGGCTCTTAGGTGGGAGTAGAACTTGTGTCTCAGGAACAAAGAAAACACCAGTGTGTTTGGAAACACTGTGAGGAAGGGAGAGTGCTAAGAGATGCACTCAGCAGAAAGTTCACAATGGAAATTTAATACAAAAGAAGAAACATTTCAAGTCCTTGGAAATTGTTCAATCAATAGGGCAGGGAGAGGAACATTTTAGGAAAGGCTCTTGAAGAGTCAGTGGGAAGAAATGCAGGGGTGTGTAGTGAGGTGGGAAGTTATGAGTTAAGATGTAGAAAGTTTGCTTGTCACCCCGGAAAGACTTAGCATGCTGACAGTGAACAGAATAAGTCAGAAAGAGCCACAAAAAGCAGTCTGTGTCTTGTCTTTTAGAATGCAGTCTTCTTAAAGGCAAGGACCCTGACCTCTAAATCAGATTTAGATTTGAATTTTTTTTTTTTTTTTTTTGCTTAACTGCTTCATAGGTGTTGGGGTGTTCCTCTATCCCATTGGTCCATAATATCTGGTTGTCTTACTTTTTATGATATCAACAATTACTGATACTTAATGCCTGGGTCCATTAATTCATCAGGGGTTGAAAAATGGTGATATCTTATTTTAACCTCCTCTAGTTTATGAACTGAAATGCTTTTATGAAGACAAAGTTTGGGTATAAATTTTTGTTATCCTGAGATACAACTGATTTTATTCAACCCCTCCCCCCACTTTTCTGTTCATTTTAGACAGTTTCTCAGAACAATAATTTGGCTCCATAGCATCTTCTAAAAGTAGCAAGTGAAACTTCGGTTTGGGGGTTCGTGTGTGTGTGCTTGGTTGTGGTAGTGCTGATGTCATACTCGTGGATTCATTCGTTTTGATTCATTTCAACCCATTGCAGATAATATTCTTATTGCAGTTTGGTTTGTCTTTCGCCAGTGACAGTGTCTTCAGGTTGACTTCTGAGACCTTTGACACAACCCCAGTTGTCTTTGATAATTTATTTTCATCTTGTGTGACTAGGAATTCCTAGTTCATCTTTTACATTTCCTGCCCCGAAGTGAGAAGGAGCCTTTCCCCCAAGAAGCCTTAGTTCCTTTTAGTATTTGAAGACCAGAATCTAGGGCTTAGGGGTGCCCAGGGAAACTCTGTTGGTCATTGTTTCAAGAAAAAGAGACACAAAGTGCATTTTTCTTTATCCCAGGATAAAATACACCATGAGTTTATGTTGTTGTATCTAGTTCACATTCAGAAATAGAATGCTTACTTAACCTCACTGATCTTATATCTCTCTCTCCTTTTTCACAGATAAAAGACCCGGCCTCGCAATGACATCCATGAAATTTCTTATTACTTTACCCACAATATACATATAAAATATCAGAAAAATAATACCACTGTCCCAGTAACGCCAAATACATAATTACTGAAAATCATGTATAATTTTTTTTGTTCTGAGAGTATATCTGAGATGTATATAGTCAAATTACTGTGTTTCACATATAATACCATTTCTTTTTCTTTTTCTTTTTTCTTTCAAACATCAATGTGTGGTTGCCTGATACACGTTCCCTACTGGGGACCTGGACTGCAACCCAGGCATGTGCCTTGCCTGGGAATCAAACCAACGGCCCTTTGGTTCTGAGGACAGCACTCAGTCTGCTGAGCCACACCAGCCAGGGCTACATATAATACTATTTTTTTTTAAATCATGTTTATTCTATTAGAGTTGTCTCAATTTTTCCCCCTTTGCCCTCCTGCACCCATCCCACCCCGCCCCTGTCTCCCACAGCCAGTTCCCGCTCTGTTGTCCATGTCCGTGGGTCATTCATACATGTTCTTTGTTTACTCCTTTCTCCTTCTTTCCTCTATTGTCTTCCTTCCCCATCCCCTCTGGTCACTATCAGTCCGCTCCATGTTTCCATGCCTGTGGTTTATTTTATTCATTAGTTTATTTTGTTGAATAGATTCTACTTATAGGTGAGATCATATGGTATTTGTCTTTCACCAACTGGCTTATTTCACTTAACATAATATTCTCCAGTTCCATCTACATTGCCTCAAAAGGTAAGAGTTTCTTTCCTTCTCTCTTTCCTTCTCTTTCTTTCTTTCTTTCTTTCTTTCTTTCTTTCTTTCTTTCTTCCTTCCTTCCTTCTTCCTTCCTTCCTTCTTTCCTTCCTTCCTTCCTTCCTTCCTTCCTTCCTTCCTAAATGCAGATTGATTTTATTTTTTTAAATGTCAAAGTTAATTATAAAATATTTTAAAAATTTAAAACTATTATAAAGTCTCAGCAATTAAGACAACATGACGCCAGCACAGAAATAATCAACTAGATCAGTGAAATAAAATGAGCATTCTAGAAATAACATATATATCTGTTTAACAACGTAACATATGATTAAATTGATATTTCAAATCAATAGGGAAAATAAAGCTTAGTCAACGAATAAGGTCCATGGGCCACTATTACTTGAAATAAAACAAATATAGAGCCCTATTTCACACATTATACAAAAAATATTCAGGTGAGTTAAAAATCAATATGTAAAATCTAAGGAGTTTTAGGAGAATATATAAATTAATATTTTTCTTACCCGGAAGTAACATATTTAAATCCAGAAGCTATAAAGTAAAACATTGACAATATGACTATATTAAATATTTAAACCTATAAGGGCAAGTAACAGAATAGGAAAGTACAACACATCTAAAAAAGGGTTAATAGTTTTTTTGTTTTTTTTAGGGAAAAATTCTACACACATTTGATCAAAAAATGGATAAAGAATATGAAAAAGTCATTTAAAGCTTTTTAAAAATCATAGAAATAGGCAAGAAATATTAAAAAAGGTTTAGTTTCAACAAATAATAAAGTAACAAAATAACATCATTGTGACAATCAGATTAATAAGTATTAAAAATATTGGTAACATCAAGTATTGGTGACTGTGAAGGAACTGAGTATTCATAGACTCTTTTTCTTCATCTTCTTAAAGCAGTCCCATTAGCATATCTTACAGTGCTGGTTTGGTGGAGGTGTATTCTTTCAGGCTTCTTTTGTCAGGGAACCTCCTTATTTTGCCTTCCATTTGAATTGAGAGCCTTGCTGGGTAGAGCAGTCTTGGTTGCAGGCCTTTGCTTTTCACGACTTGGAATATTTCTTGCCAGTCCCTTCTGGCTTGCAGGGTTTCTGTTGAGAAGTCAGCTGCTAGCCGTACTGGGGCTCCCTTATATGTTACTACCTCTTTCTCCCTTGCTGCCTTTAGGATTCTCCGCTTGCCTTTGATATTTGCCATTTTAATGATGATGTGTCCTGGAGTGGGCCTCACTGAGTTCCTCTTGAATGGGACCCTCTATGCTTCCTGGACTTGTGTGACTTTTTTTCTCCTCCAATTAGGGAAGTTTTCCATCATTACTTTTTCTAACAGGTTCTCTATGCCTTGCTTCTCTTCTTCTCCTCCTTCTGGTATCCCTATTATACAGATATTATTATGTTTCAGGTTGTTCTGCACTTTCCTCAACACCTCTTCATTCTTTTTGAGTCTTTTTTCATTTTCTTGCTCTTTCTGGGAGCTTTTTTCTCTCTTTTCATCCAGCTCTCTTATTGATAGTTTCTATGTCCTTTTTCATGCTGATATAGATTGCAGTAAGTTCCTTGTAGTTTTCCCTGTAGTTTTTTGTGATTCTCTCTGAGCTCACTGAGCTCATTGAGCTTCCTGAGAACCATTGTTTGGAACTCAATATTGGATAGTTTACATGCCTCTATTTTCTTTAGTTCTCTTCTGGGGATTCCTCCTTTCCCTTCGACTGGGGGTTGTTTCTTTGTCTTCCCATTATGTGAGAGACCCTTCTTTTTTGCTTCTGCTTCTTAAATTGATCTGTCTTGATTTCCTGACTTTGTGGTGTGAACTTCTATGGTAGGAGACTGCTGTTTTTAATTTCTGGATCTTCATCTGATGATGTCAGATGTTGACCCTGTCTGACCTTAGGCAGTCTGTTTGAGACTTCCAGGATTCTGCTGTCTCTGGCTGTCTCCTTCAGCCATTAATCTAGTCACTCTGCTCTCAGCAGGCCAGCTTAAGTACACCACAGGGCGGGGCAGAGTCCCTCCTGGGGGCAGGGTCATTGGGTCCTCTCCCCGCTTTGCTGCTCAGGGCAGTGGTCTGCCTGAGCCAGATGGCTGCTGCTGTATGGGGGATCCCACCGGCTACTCTCTCAGTTCTCTCCCCAAAGCCTCCTTCCACAGTATCTCCTCTGGCATCTCTAGCACATTCTGCCATGCCTTTGCCAGAGACCAGGGTAAATGGCTGCAAATAAAAATATTTGCGATGGCCTTTTAAATGGCTCTTTGTGTCTCTAGCTGCCTGTCTCTGGCAGAGAGCAACCCTGACACTTTTCACAGCTCAGCTGTTACCTGTGTACTTTTTGGGCTCTGGTTCTGTAGGCCAGAGATCCCCACTTTTAGTTTAGACCCCGCTCTTCTCAGGGGATCCAACTAACTGTCTCAATATCCTTCTGGTGCTGCTGCCCGTGGGAGGCCCACCCACATTCTCAAGTCTCTCCCACACTCCTTACCAGTCAGGTTGTGCTAAAGCTAATTCTTCTGTCTGAGGTTATAAGGCTCCTCTCTTGCTATTGTTAAGTTGTTTGTTTCAGGTGATTTCTACAAAATTTAGCTGTAATTCCAGGTTGTTCCTGGGAGGAGGTCAGCATGACTTCTACTCACTCCTCTGCCATCCTGATTCTCATAATACTACTGTATCTTAAAGTAGTTCTTTACTAATAGAGCACATAGGTACTTCTCTACATATTCTGTGCATCAGTTTGACACAGGTCATTCATTTCATTCTGCTTTGGCTTTGCAGTGATAACTTTTTAAAATGTTTTTGTTATTGTTATTATATAATTATATAAAATATTTTAGTTTATGGTTTTAAAGTTAAGTCTACCAAAAAAGGTTAATTCAAAGAACTTTAGCTTTTATCTCTGTTCTCATCATTTCTCTCTCTGAGTAACATTTCTTTTTCAATAATTTTTTTTAAAGATTTTATTTATTTTTACATAGAGGGAAAGGGAGGGAAAAAGAGAAAGAGAGAAAGATCAATGTGTGGTTGTTTCGTAAGTGCCCCCTACTGGTAACCTGGCCTGCAATCCAGGCATGTGCCCTGACTGGGAATCAAACCAAAGACCCTTTGGTTCGCAGACTGGCAATCAATCCACTAAGCCACACCAGCCAGGGCTCAATAAGTTTTTATAAGTCTTAATCTTCACATATATGTAAAGATATTATATATTTATTTGTGTATTTTAAGATGTAAAACATACTCACAGAGTTACCAATGAACCACTCTTTGTCCCCTAAGTATGTGTCCAAATCTTGCAGAAGATGAGGTGCATCGTATGTAAGTAGTTCATTAAACATTTGCTCCTAAGAGAGGGAGAAAAATTTGAGGATAAAAGGAAGAAAAATAAATAACATTCTTTAAAGAATTTGATTTTTCCTTCTTTATTTTTCAATGTGAGTTCAGAAAGGAAGAAAAGTAGCTAAGTGTTTTTTTTTTTTTTTGGTAATGTATGACATTATGGAAGTTCAGGTCTAATTCTCTATAGATCTTTATTACTCATGAATTTAAAAATAAATACTTTTGTCAACAGTGCTTATAGTTTCTTTCTTATATGACTAAATATTTCACCCATAAAATATTTTCATGATTTTAACTTAATTTTTGTTAATAAAATGATTTTATTATATTTTTACACTTCCAAAATTCCCATTTTCTTATCCTCCTCTCTTTTAAACTTAAAAACGTAACTGAAGGTAAAGAAATTAATTTTTCACAGCAAAGGAAACCATCAACAAAATGAAAAAACAACAAACTGAACGGGAGAACATATTCAACAATGATACATCTGATAAGCCATTAATACCTACATTTATAGAGAACTTATAAAACTCAACACCAAAGAAAACAAACAACCCAATTAAAAAATGGGCAAAGGACCTTGAATAGACACCACTCCAAAGAGACAGCATATAGACATGAAAGAAATGCTCAATGTCACCAGTCACCAGAGAAATGCAAATTAAAACCACAATGACATATCACCTCACACCTGTTAGAATGGTTATCATCAATAAATCAACAAACAACAAATGTTGGCATGGATCTGTTTGTTGATTTATTGATGATAACCTTTCTAACAGGTGTGAGGTGTGGTGGTGTGAGGTGTGGTGGTGTGAGGTGTGGAGAAAAGGGAACCCTCATGCACTATTGGTGGGAATGCAGACTGGTGCAGCTACTGTGAAAGCAGTATAGCGTTACCTCAAAAAAAAAAAAAGTTTAACTGCCTTATGACCCACTCCTGAGAATATATTCAAAGAAATCTGAAACACTCATTTGAAAGAATAAATGCACCCCTACGATCATTGTAGTGATATCTACAATAGCCAAGGTTTGGAAGATGAGTGGATAAAAAAAGCTCTGGTACATTTACACAACAGAATTCTACTTGGCCATTAAAAAGAAGGAAATCTGGCCTTGAGTGGGGTAGCTAAGTGGGTTGGGCATCGTCCTGGAAACCAAAAGGTCAACAGTTTGATTTTCAGCCAGGGCACATGCCTGAGCTGTGGGCCAGGTCCCCACTTAGGGGCATGCAAGAGGCAACCAATAGATTTTTCTCTCACACATCGATGTTTCTCTCCCTTCCTCCCTTCCCCTTTTTCTAAAAAATAAATAAAATCTTTTTTTCTGAAGAAAAAAGAAAAAAAATCTTACCTTTTGTGACAGCATGGATGGACCTGGAGAGTATTATGCTAAGTAAAATAAGTCAGTCAAAGAAAAACAAATACCATACAATTTCACTTATATGTGTAATCTAATGAACAAAATAAACTGACAAAGTAGAAACGGACTCATAGATGCAGAAAACAGACTGACAGCTATCAGAGGGATAGGGGTTGAGGGAGTGGGTGAAAAAAAGGAAGGGGTTAAGCAAAAAAGAAAAGAAAACTCAGACACTGAAAACAGTGTGGCGATTACCAGAGGGAAAGTGGAGTGGAGGGAGCTAGTACAGAGTAGAGGGGAAATAAATGGTGATAGAAAGAGACTTGAGTTGGGGTGATGAATACAAAATACAATATTCAGATGATGTGTTATAGAATTGTATGCCTGAAACCTATATAATTTTATTAACCAATGCTACCCCAATAAATGTAATAATAATAAAAGTAAAAAAGAATATATTAAAGGGATTCAACAGTAGAGTAGATGAAGAGAGCATCAAATCAACAATTTGGAAGATAAAGCAGAAAACATGTCATCAGAAGAGCAAAAAGAAAAAAAGAACCCAAAAATATGAAGATGGTGTAAGGAGCCTCTAGCACAACTTCAAGCATATAAATATTCACATCATGGGGTGCCAGAAGGAGAAGAGAGAAAGCAAGAAATTGAAAACCTAATTGAAAAAATAATAATGGAATACTTACCTATCCTGGTGAAAGAAATCGACATGTAAGTCCAGGAAGCACAGAGAATCCCAAGCAAGATAAACCCAAAGAGGCCCACACCAAGGCACATCAAAATTAAAATGCAAAATGTTAAAGACAAAAAAAGAGCCTTAAAAGCAAAAAAGCAACAAGAGAAATGTGGTTAGTTACATATAGGGAGCTCCCAGAAGACTGTCAGCTGACTCCTCAACAGAAATTTGCAGGTCAGAAAGGATTAGCACAAAATGCTCAAAATGATGAAAAGCAAAGACCTACAACCAAGATTACACTACCCAGCAAGGCTACCATTTAGAATCAAAGGACTAAGCTAAAGAGCTTACAGACAAGAGCTACAGTTCATCACAAACAAACCAGTATTAAAAAAAAAATTGTAAAGGGTCTTCTTTAAAAAGAAGGAAAAAAAGATCAAAATTATGAATAATAAAATGACAATAACTACATACATATCAATAATCACTTTAAAAGCAAACAGATTAAATGCTCTAATCAAAAGACATACAGTTGCTGAATAGATAACAAAACAAAATTTCTATGTATGTTGTCCACAAAAGACTCACTTCAGATCAAATGACATACACATCATGAAAAGTATAGTGATGGAAAGGGATGGAAAAATATATTACATGAAAATGGAAACAAACAAACCGGTGGGGTAAGGATATAGCAAGAGACAAGGAATGACCCAGCAATTCCACTTGTGGGTATTTATCTGAAGAAACTCAAAATACCAAATTGAAAAGACATGTACATCCATATGTTCACTGCAGCATTATTTATAATAGCCAACATACGGAGGCAACCACAGTGTCCACCAAAAGATAAATGAAAAAGAAGTGGTTCATATAGACAATGAAACATATTTCAGCCATAAAAAGGAATTAAATCTTGCCATCTGCAACAACATGGATGGATCTAGAAGGTATTGTGCTGAATTAAGTCAGACAGAGAAGACAAATGCCAGATGATTTCATTTATCTGTAGAACCAAAAAAAAAAAAAAAATTAACAGGCAAAACAGAAACAGACTTATAAAATAGAGAGGACGTTTTGAGAGCTGCCAGAAGGGAGGAGGTTTGTGGGTAAGTGAGAAAGGTGAAGGGATTAAGTACAAACTGGTAGTTACAGAATAGTCATGGGGATGTAAAGTACAGCCTAGAGAATATAGACAATAATATTGTACAGCTATGTACAGTCTCAGATGGGTACTAGATTTATTGGGGTGATCACTTCATAAGTTATATAAATGTCTAATCACATGGTGGTACACCTGAAACTAATATAATATTGTATGTCAACTATAATTTAAGAAAAAAATTCCAGGAAGCAAACCCATCCATATTCCTCCTGGACATCATCCATTATCTCTCTAACTCCTAAGCACGTTTTTCTAATTGAGCGAGCTTTTACTTTCCCACAAACCTGAGGTAAACCCAAGAGTTTGAAAATTCAGTGAAGCAAGTCGTAGAGACACCCAATGACAATTAAAAAGAAATATTAACCCCCCCAAAAAAGTAAATTAGAAAAGGTTTTTTGAAACTGCTTTTCAGACATTTTGACTGCAACCTAAAGTCAGAAATACATTTTATATCCCAGCCAAGTACACCGATAAAAATATTCACAAAATAATACCCCTATAATGTGCAAAGTACTCTGATATTCTGTACTCTATTTTTTTTATTCTACTCTATTCTGCTTCTTTCCATTCAAAAAAAGAATGACAGGTCACACCCCACTGAATTGATATGACTCAATAATGGTCAAGAACTACCATTTGAGAAACAGGAGATTATAGGCATCTGAATCACTCATCCAGACTGCTCTCTATTCCTTCCATGGTCCAGAAAAAACTGCAGTGCACTCTGTTGCCAATGAAGTGCCCATGTCAAGTGTCTGGCTAACCCACCATGCCATTTCCCCCTTCTTCCTGTCCTGGCCATATGCCAACTCAACTAGAAACCGCGTTTTTCAGCTTTCCTTCCAGTGAGGTGGGACCATGTGGCTAAGTTACACCAATAAAATCTGAGTGGAAATGATTGTATGATTCTGCACTACTTGACTAAAAGAAAATTCTTTGCCCTAGATTTCTGCCCTTTCCTCTTTCTTTTTATAACGTGGAGCCACAACCCAACTTTGATCAAGAAGAGGATCATAACCTACAGAAGGGGTCAGCAAACTACTGTCCACAGAACAAATGTGGCCACCACTTGTCTTTGGAACACACACCCTGAGGAAAAAAATTAATTTTATTTAGTAAAGCTAGACTCCTCCCATTTGGCAGTCTTCCATTTCACCTTTGCACTTAACAGAAGCAATCCATAATGAATCATATGCTTTCAGTGTTTATGAATTTTTTCTCTTTGGCTTGATATTGTGCCTTAATATGAGATTTATCTGCCTTGAATATCATCTACAAAACCCATCATCTACGTGCCCCCTTTTGTTACATTGTGTAAGGTAACACTACCAACCAAATAATATCCTTAGAAAAAATTAACATATATAACCATTTTTTAAAAGTTATCTTTATGTCTTTACTTGAATCTCTGAAGACCAAAAAATTTATTCATGGCCCATTTCTTGGTAAGAAGAGTTTGTTTTATATGAAAATTTTGGCTGGTTTGTATTTTGGATATGAAATGTAAGTCAACCTCTCTTCCTCAAGGATGTCTAGATGATCATGCTGCAGCTGCTTGCATTTAAAGGGCTGGTGGGGAAAGGAGAGAAAAGGGGAGGGAGAGAGACATCAATGTATGAGAGAAACATTGATGGTTTGCTTCTCTCTCAGGCCCCCTAGTGGGGACCTGGCTCAAAATCCAGGCATATGCCCTTTGGTCTGCAAGCCAGTGCTCAGTCCACTGATCCATACCAGCCAAGCTTCAGTCAAGATGGCAGCATAAGTAAACACAGCTCACCTAATCACAC